AAAAATTTACAATAATGTCTTCAATTTTGACTAAAGATATTTCAACGCCTGACCCATCCTCTTTCACTTCCACATTACCTGAATTGGTATCTATCATTCCTTTTCTTTGATTGCGTTTACTGCTATTTTTTGGCTTTTCTCTCCCCCCCCCCCCCCCAAAACTAACTTTTCTAATGATTATTACCAGATTGAAATAAAAAAGAAGTATAAATACAGAATTATCCTTGATGAAAGTTTATCATTTGGAGTTTTAGGAAAAAGAGGCGCGGGTTTAACAGATTATTTTAACATCAAGGTAGGATAGAATATTTCAGAAATATTATAATTAATTTGCGTTTATATAAAATTATATTGGCTTTTATGTTATTTGATAGTCATCGGATGTTGACATGATCGTTGGATCAATGTGTAACGCGCTTTGTTCGTCTGGTGGTTTTTGTTCTGGGTCCCATGAAATTACTGATTATCAGGTGAATTCATAACATCACTCGCTACTTTACACAATCAGTTGTTTTGTCTTTTGTGAGTTACCTTCTTAAACAGTTTTGTATGAAAATAAGCGTATCTCTGGTCCTGCATACTGTTTCTCGGCGGCTTTGCCAGCCATGCTTGCGGTCAGTGCTTCTGAATCTCTTGCTTTCCTGTCACAAAATCCACAATTGCTTGTTAGACTTCAAGAGAACTCGCACGTTTTTCGAAATATGTTTAAAGACATGAACAATTACGTAAGATTAGACGGGTCAACTGATTCTCCTGTTATGCATCTTCGACTAAATAAAAAAATTTTGGATCTTACCGAGGATCATGAGGATAATATTATTAATTCTAATCATCGTTATAATTATCACGGTCGTCGGCATAGTAATAAATTAAATGGTTCAAGCGATGATTCGGAGAAAGCAGATAGATTATTACAAGAGATCGTTGATAAGGTAACTTTGATAGTGAATTCTATATTTGATCTGTTTATTGGGGAAGGTAATCCAGCAGAGGATCAATATTCTAAACTTTTGAAACATTTGTATAGGCTATAGACAATGGAATCCTATTGACGCGTGCAAAATACGTGCGGAATCAAGAGCATTTTGACATTGAACCCAGCATACGCATTTGCATATCTGCGAGTTTCACGAAAAAAGAAATAGAAAATATCGCAATAACACTTAAAAATGTGATTACAAATGTGTTAAGAAACAAAACTCATGAGATTCCGTCGGCTACTATCGTTTATACGAACGGGGCAAAATAATGATGATGATAATGGCTATTTGATACTATTACTAGTTTTCTTGACCTAGTTGTTATTACAGAAAATCAAGGGATAATTTGGTTATGCTTTATTATACGAGTGAATATGGTATTAATGTGTGGGGAAATTTATTTTTAATCTTAATTATAATGTTCTTAAATGTTTAATTTTGTTCTAAATCCTTAATTCGAATGTTTTCTTAGAGAATAATAGATTCATTAAGAGGGTTTCCTTTTATTTAAAGAAGCTTAATGACAAGGAAGAGATGTATATATCTTCAATTTCTATCCTTTGCAGATTCATTCTAATTCAGAAAATTTATAATTACTAGAATGAAAGTGATCAATTGAGAAGTTTAAAAAATTATTTATGCAGTATCTCCAACTTTCTATTAGAATTTGCTGAAACTGATATTATCTCGAGTAATTCTAACGTTAAAAAGACCACCCCTAAACATTTGTGAATTCGAAGATGAGCAATCACCTTCATCTGATGAAATTCGTTTTAACATCTATATCGGATAGACGTTAAAGCGATCTATCTAATATAAGGGATTATCTTATCACTTTATATTTTGTCAGTAAATAAATATATTAAACGAAGGTCGAAAAAATTAAATCAAATTATTAATAATAATTATTACCTAATTAATAAATTAATCTCACTATTTTGTAAATGTATCATACAAATCCAATTATTTTTACAGGGTCCCGCTCCATAAGTAACAATAATATGTACACACCTAAAGTCTATTTTATAAACGGAAGCCACGCTCTAACTCGTTGTCGATACGCCACATAATCCTCGCCAAAGAACTTAATTAACAACGGCTCCTCGTGTTGAATTCGATCTCGGAAAAACCGATACAACACCACACAATAACCAACGAAACAGATAGGATTAGACAGCAACACTTGAGTGCCCACCGCCCAATAATAGAACCCAAAATATGAAGGGTGTCGTAAGATGCTGTATATGCCAGTGGTGACTAACTCGTGATCGCGATGTTTTCGAAAGGCGATCTGGTGAGAGAAATTGTGTTTTGCGTGCCACATTGCGAGGCTTCGTGCTGTTTGTCCTATTATTATGAGTAGTGCACCTAAATTTTGGTTGGAAGAGTTGTGATTAATGTTTTCTATCAATACGCGTGATTTGTTTGATACATTGATTAATCATAATTAGATGATTAACAAGTTTTGAGGGATCATTTGATTTCAAAACCAATAAATAACAAAATAATCTCTTTACTCAACTCAGTAAATAGGATAAATATTCACCTATGAATTTAGCCCACCAAATCTTTTTCAATTCCGGAAAGAAATATAACTCTGTTAGAAATTCGATCAGACCAGCACTATGCGCTATATGATACGCGACTCCATTATGTATAAGGAATGCTGATGATATTTAAAACGATCATGATATATCAGTACAAATGAATTCGATGATAATCCTCTAAACGCTTCACAAATCAAAATGATAACCTACCATCCAAAGACAACTTGTCCGAATTAACCATAGCTGTCAACAAATATTCCATTATGTGAAAGAAGGCTAATGCTGCAAGGAACATACCTAACTGAGGCATTGTATTTGAGGCAACAGCTATCGAGATACCTATCCCAAAAGTCGTCCCAATTAAGAACGAGTATAATGCAATATTTCGTGGTGTGTGACTTCTATCTAATAATGGGAAAGGGTGGTATGCTTGTTGAAATTGGTTCGTTGTGAGGTATGAGGGTTGAGCGGAAGAGGTAGTATAGTTATATTTAACATTGTTATTTGACGTTGAGGAGGCGTTAGTGGTGGTTCTACCGTTAGGTGTCAAAGAGGGATCTGAAGATCCAGAAGACGGAGAGGTAGAGGAAGCTAATGTGGAAGTGAAAGAGGATGGGTCAGGCGTTGAAATATCTTTAGTCAAAATTGAAGACATTATTGTAAATTTTT